CATGGGTAGGACCCAGATAGCTAAGGGGCTTTGGAACCAACCGAAAAGAGAGTTGTTCTGGGAGTGTCTTGCACATAGTTCTTTACTCAGCTTAGTCAGGATCTGCACGTTTTGTTCTACTACTCCAGACTCGTTGATGTAGTAGCAGCATTCTTCCTGAAGGAATATGCAGGTCCCTCCTTTTTCTGCTGTCAAGAGATCTAAGGTACGCCAGTTCTGTAGGGCTACCTGGGCTATTGATGTTACTTGTCGCTGTAGGGAGGCTAAAGAGGTGGTTGCAGACTCCAGGGCTAACTGGAGCTTGTCACTGAAGTCCTGAGCAGTGACCAGACTGTTCCCGAGCCCCCCCCTCCCCGCAAGGGCTACCGAGGCAACGATACTCACCCCTAACATGACAGGGAGGAAGGCGGCCCAGCAGGCCCGGGAGTGGGATGAAGGGAGCAGCCAGGCGAGCTCTGACCCTCCATACAAGGTTAGTTGGGGAACTACTGTGACCATGAAGCAAGGCCCGGGGTCAGAGGAGTTTATGCAGTTGCTTAAGGTGCCATTGCACCAAAAGAAGGTACCCGGGCTGGCCTTGGTGAGACTGGCTGCGGTGTAGTTTTGGGTACAGTTCCAAGTGACTCATCCCCCAGTTACCAGATTACTGGTTTGGTTGCATATCCGTGGGGTCAGGGTGGGTTCTGAAGTTTTGGATTCTCAAAGGGAATGCCAGCCAAGGGAGGCTGACATTCACCTTGCCCCTGGGCTCCTGGAGGAGTTATGAGTGGGACGGCAGCCAGCAAAAGCCTTTGGAGAGAGTCGCATAGAAAGCAGCGCAAGACATTGGGCAGGGTGCGGGTCTCATTGAGGAATACGATACTCACCCCTAACATGACAGGGAGGAAGGCGGCCCAGCAGGCCCGGGAGTGGGATGAAGGGAGCAGCCAGGCGAGCTCTGACCCTCCATACAAGGTTAGTTGGGGAACTACTGTGACCATGAAGCAAGGCCCGGGGTCAGAGGAGTTTATGCAGTTGCTTAAGGTGCCATTGCACCAAAAGAAGGTACCCGGCTGGCCTTGGTGAGACTGGCTGCGGTGTAGTTTTGGGTACAGTTCCAAGTGACTCGTCCCTCAGTTACCAGATTACTGGTTTGGTAGTATATCCGTGGGTGAAGCGTGAGTTCTGAAGTTTTGGGTTCCCCAAAGGGAATGCCAGCCAAGGGAGGCTGACATTCACCTTGCCCCTGGGCTCCTGGAGGAGTTATGAGTGGGACGGCAGCCAGCAAAAGCCTTTGGAGAGAGTCGCATAGAAAGCAGCGCAAGACATTGGGCAGGGTGCGGGTCTCATTGAGGAATAGTAGAGTATGTTGAATAAGTCAGAGCCAAGAGGATAGGACTTCTACCCGGGGGAGTCAGGAAGCTTCCCTTTAAGGGACTGTTTGGCCTGTAGGATGCTGTTGGAGACCTGGATTTGGGCCTCCTGGGCCAAGACATATTCCTGGGAGATATAAATGGTCCCTGAAGGGGTAGAGCTCCAATCATTCCAGTATAGCATACCCATAACACCCGTAACCCATCGCTGGTCACAGAGATCCCTGACCCTGATGTGGAAGGTCTCATCCTTCCAGAAAAAGGGCCCAGTCCAGACCTCGTCATAGGCATCATGAGTGACCCAGCATCTCCAGCGGCAACCCCCATAGGTGTCGACATCTTGATTTCACATCTCTGGGTCCCACTGGTCATAAGCAAAACAGACATAGGGTCGCCCCAGGTTGGACACTGACTAGAGGTCGACAGCCATCAGGATCTCCGTCTGGCATCCGACCAGAGGGCAGTCCTGAGATCCTACCTGCCGGGTGACTTGTTTGTCATCCTGATAGTAGGTTTCACAGACCTTGAACCTCCATACATAAGCGGGTCGGGGTGGGTGTAGGTTGCTCAGGGCTGAGAGGGGAAGGAGGAGGGGGAGGGCGACTAAGGCGGACCTTTGTGGGGCCCAGCACCTCACATTCTAAAAGTCATGCTGCTCCGGGGTCCTCTTGAGCCTGGAGAGGTGGTGCCACGACGGATCACCAAGCAGTTTAGCCCTGGTGAGGGTAGTAAGGATTACAGTGTGAAGTCCCGTCCACCTAGGCTCCAAGGCTTTGGATGTAGATTCTTAAAGAGGACCAAGTCACCAGGGTGAAGGGCTAGTCCTAGAGATCCTTGGTCGGTTGGTTCTGGCTTGGGCAGAAACCTGTCTGTGTGTTCTCGGAGCAGCTGCCTGAGTAGGGACAAATATGGAAGATAAGGACCCAAGGGAGGAGGATCAACAGGGAGACGGTGGTTGAGCAAGAAGGATCTCCCATATAGAAGCTCAAAAGGACTTAAGAAGGTGTGGCTCCTTGGTGTATCCCAGATTCTGGTCAGGGCCATGGGCAGGAGGTCCAGCCAGGAACTGCGAATTTCTAGAGAGAGTTTAGTTAGATGGTCTTTAAGGAGGCCATTAATCCTCTAGATCTTACCCCATGATTGTGGTCGGTAGGGTATGTGTAGTTTCCAGGAGATGCCAAGAGAGGTGCTAACCTGCTGGACAACCCTTGATATCAAAGCTGGGCCATTGTCTGATTGGATGGAGGTGGGGAGGCCAAACCTTGGGATTATGTGTGTTATTAGGGTCTCAGCCACCACTTCAGCAGTTTCCTTGCGGGTGGGAAAGGCCTCTACCCACCCTCTCAGGGTGTCTACCATGGTAAGCAGATACCTGGTCTTTTTGTGGGGGGGCATAGGGGTGAGGTCTACCTGCCAGTGCTGCCCTGGAAGGTGTCCCCTCATTTGATGGGTGGGAAAGTTGGGGCGCAACCCTCCCTGGGGTGAGACAGCCGCACACGTGGGGCAGGAGGAGCAGGCACTCGTGATCACCTCCCGCAGTATGGGCGAGGTGAAGAGGGGTTCGAGGAACCTCCAAAGTGCCAGTGGTCCAATATGCAAAGACCGGTGGATTTGTTGGGCAATGGCCCCTGTCTGGGCCCGAGGAAGGGCGATTTTGTTGTTTATAAAGATCCATCCCTCCGGACCAGAGAGCCTCCAACTGCAGGAATTTGTTTTTCTCCTCTTCTGTATATTGAGGGGTAATGGAGGGAAGGGAAAGGAACAGGACCGGGGCTGGGGACCCTTCACCCTGAGTTAAGCCTCTGGCTACCGCGTCTGCTTGGGCATTTCCCCGCGAGGAGTAACCAGCGAGGAGTCTATCTGATGGCCTCAGCAGTGCATGATGGCTACCTGGGAGGGAAGCTGTAAGGCATCAAGTAAGCATGTTATGAGTCTAGCATTGATAATAGGTGCGCCTTTAGTAGAGAGGAAGCCCCTTTCCTTCCAGATAACTGTGTGGCAATGGGCTAATACTTGGAGTCTGTATATATGTTTACTCTCTTCCCTTTGGCCAGATATGGGCGCGGGTCAGTGCAATGAGCTCGGCCTTTTGAGAGGTGGTACCCTCTGGGAGTCGGGCCGCATCCAGGGTCCACTCGGGTGTCACTACCACATAGAAGGCTTTCCGACCTCCCTGTTGGTCCAGGCAGGAGCTTCCATCCACAAACAGAGTTAAGTCAGGATTGGAGAGAGGAGAATCTGAGAGTCCTGCCCAAGGCTGAGTGAGAGCCTCGACGACCTTGGGGCAAGAATGCGTTGCTGCAGGTAGGGTGGAGGCAGCGGGAAGGAGAGTGGCCGGCTTTAGAGCTGGGGACTGGGTCAGGGACATGTCAGGATTTTCGAGGAACAGAAGTTGGTGTTCCTGCATGTGAGAGGGGAGAGGAGAGATAAGGATCAGTGGGACAGAAGATCCTGTAGTCCAGGGGTCCTCAAACTACGGCCCACGGGCCACATGCAAATACAAATATTGTATTTGTTCCCGTTTTGTTTTTTTACTTCAAAATAAGATATGTGCAGTGTGCATAGGAATTTGTTCATAGTTTTTTTTAAACTATAGTCCGGCCCTCCAATGGTCTGAGGGACAGTGAACTGGCCCCCTGTTTTAAAAGTTTGAGGACCCCTGCTCTTGATGATATACAAACTTCTCAAATCATTCTGAAGAGTCTATGTCAACCTCCAAAATCCTCTATGGATGTTAAAGGTCAACCTTTAATAGATCATGAGGCAGCAAACTCAATTCCAGATTGGGGTGAAGTTCAGCATCAATTCTTGCCTATTGGTGTTAAAGGTGTGGACCTGGGTAATTTGATAATGAAAGGGCAGAGCAGGACTGACTCCATTCTGTACTGTGTCCTCCATCTTGTGTAACTATGTCCCCGACATGACCTCTTTCTGAAAAAACCCACAGAATGTGTCAGTTACCCAGCCCACCCTTAAATCAACCAATGGGAATGCAAGGGGAATAACCTAAAGCCAAAGGTATGCTAACCGCATCCTGTCTTTGTGTAACTGGACCCTAGCCCTCACCCAACCAATCGGAATCAGACAACTCAGTGGTCCGAGCATCACCCCACCACCCGACCCCAAGCCCTATAAACTTGCTGTACTTCTGGGACTGGGGGCTCTTTTGCATCCTGCCATTGCGTCGGTAGAGGCGGAGAGACCGATCTCGAGCTTGAATAAAGGATCTTTGCTTTTGCATCGGACCCGGCTCCCTGGTGGTCTTTGGGGATCTTGAAATCTGGGCATAACATTTGGGGGCTCGTCCGGGATCCCCAAGACCCACAAGGGACCCTAACCTTGAGAGCCTTACTGACCATGGTAGGTGTCTGTGTGTTTGTGTGTTTCTGTCCCTCTGGTGTGAGCTCATCTCTGGTATTCTGGTTGTGCCTGACGAGGTCTAAGTGGACGCACTGGAGGACCACGGGCAGGAGGACTCGGAAGACGTTCCGATCCTCCTTTCTGGAGGGACATGGATCCGCTGGTCGGCGTGAGGCCATCGTCTAGCTGTCTGTTTTGCTTCCACGGAGTTGGAAGACTGTTCTTTGGGGCCCTTTGTTTGTGTTTGTGTTTCTCTGTTTTATTCTGTGGACTTACTGGACGGACATTATGGGACAGACTCAGACTACTCCTTTAATTATGATTGATGATCATTTCAAAGAGATTAGGGGAAGAGCCAACGAGCTCAGTGTGGAGGTCCGGAAGGGTCAGTGTCAGACTTTTTGTTCCAGCGAGTGGCCCACTTTCAATGTCGGATGGCCGCCAGAGGGAACTTTCGACCTCCCTACCATCCATCGGGTCAGAGATGTTGTCTCCCGGCCCAAGAAGGGTCATCCTGATAAACTCCCTTACATTATTACTTGGCAGGACCTTGTGGAGGACCCACCCTCTTGGCTTAAGCCCTTCCTGGCCCCACGCCCTCCAGAGCCGAGACCTATTCTTGCTTTGCAGGGGACAGAGAAGGAGGAGGAGAAGAAGGTCACACAGCCATCAGCTCCCCTCTACCCTGTCTTGCAGGGGGGAACTGAAGAAGAACTAATTTTTCTTCCCCCGTATCAGTCCCCTAGAGTGCCGGAGGGACCCAGCCAACCCCCATCTGGGGAAGCAGACGCTGCTCCGAGAGCAGAGCACGGAGGAGTTCCAGTGGGAAGCCCGCCCTATACCAGACAAAGGGCTCAGAGAGAGCAGTCTGCCTCCGTCGCCGACTCCACTATTAAGACCCTACCCCTGCGAGCCACCAGTCCCCCGGATGAGGGGGGCAATCAGCCCCATCACTACTTGCCTTTCACCACTAGTGACCTCTGTAATTGGAAAGCTCAAAATCCTAAGTTCTCTGAAAAGCTGGCAGGGCTCATTGATTTACTAGACTCTGTTCTTTTCATCCATCAGCCTACCTGGGACGACTGTCAGCAGCTTTTGCAGGTCCGATTCACCACTGAGGAGAGGGAAAGGATCCTCAATGAGGCCCGAAAGCTAGTCCTGGGCATGGACGGGAATCCTACCACCAACCAGGCTCAGATAGATACCTCCTTTCCTCTAACTAGGACTGAATGGGATTTCAACACGGCAGAAGGTAAGGAGAGGCTCCGGGTCTACTGCCAGACTCTAATGGGAGGTCTTCGGATGGCTGCTAGGAAGCCGACTAATTTGGCTAAGGTAGGAAATATACAGCAGGAGAAGGATGAATCTCCAGTGGCCTTCCTAGAGCAGGTCATGGAGGCGTTCCATACCTATAACCCCATGGACACAGAGGCTCCTGAAAACAAGGCGACTGTTATCATGGCCTTTGTAAACCAATCTGCTGCAGACATTAGGAGAAAACTGCAGAAGATAGAAAGACGAGGGGAGAAAAGTCTTCAGGACTTGCTGGTAGTAGCCGAAAAGGTGTACAACAACCGGGAGCCCCCTGAAGATAAACAGGCTTACGCCGTGGTGGCTGCCAGCAGTAAGCAAACCCGAGACCTGGCCAGGATTCTGCTGGCTACCACCGCGGACTCTCCTGAGGAACGGGACCGTCACCTCCGACAGCTTGCGAGTGACCGGAAAAGAGGTAAGGAGACAACCAGGGAAGGGAGGCGGAGGCTGCAGAAGGATCAGTGTGCTTACTGCAAGGAAATAGGGCATTGGACCCGAGAATGTCCAAAGAAGGCCGGCGGGAAGTGAAGCAAGACTGATTGAGTGAAAATCTTAGAGCTGGATGAACTGAGCGATTAGGGGATTCGGGGTTCGGACCCCCTCCCCGAGCCCAGGGTAACTCTTATCGTGGAGGGGACCCCTTTTGACTTCCTTGTCGACACCGGAGCGCAATATTCGGTCCTCCGCACATCTCAGGGGAAGCTAGCAAACAAGAAGTCCTGGGTACAAGGGGCAACTGGTATGAGCCAATATTCATGGACTACCTGAAGAATGGTAGATCTAGGAACGGGCCGGGTATCCCACTCCTTTATGGTGATACCAGAATGCCCCTACCCACTATTAGGACGGGACTTACTGACCAAGATTGGAGCTCAGATAATTTTCAGTCAAGGGGGGCCTCAGGTCAACGACGGCAAAGTCCACCCCATCCAGGTTCTGACTCTGAGACTGGAGGATGAGTACCGCCTCCACCAGAAGGCGTCCCCAATAGAGAACAACATGGACAGATGGCTACAAGAATTCCCCACAGCTTGGGCAGAGAAGGGGCGGGGTAGGACTAGCCACTCACAGGACCCCAATCCTAGTAGAGCTAAAACCAGGAGAAGGCCCAGTAAGGATCAAGCAGTACCCTATGTCTCAGGAGGCCCGGAACGGTATCCATCCTCACATCCGGAGACTGCGAAGCCTAGGGGTACTAGTTCCCTGCCAATCTGCCTGGAACACCCCCCTCCTGCCAGTCAAGAAACCTCACACGAATGACTACCAACCAGTACAGGACCTCCGGGAAGTAAATAAAAAAGTCATGGATATACACCCAATAGTTCCCAACCCATATACTCTCTTGAGCTCCTTGGCACCCTCTAGAGCAGGGGTGGGCAAACTTTTTGACTCGAGGGCCACAATGGGTTCTTAAACTGGACCGGAGGGCCGGAACAAAAGCATGGATGGATTTGTGTGAAGAACTAATATAAATTCAAAATAAACATCATTACATAAAAGGGTACGGTCTTTTTTTTTTTAGTTTTATTCATTTCAAACGGGCCGGATCTGGCCCGCGGGCCGTAGTTTGCCCACGGCTGCTCTAGAGTCTGGTATACCGTATTAGATTTAAAGGATGCCTTCTTCAGCCTGCTGCTGGCGCCCCGAAGCCAACCCTTATTTGCCTTCGAATGGCACGACCTGGAGGAGGGCTACAGTGGACAATTAACTTGGACACAGTTGCCTCAGGGGTTCAAGAATTCGCCCACCATCTTTGACGAGGCGCTACACGAGGACCTGGGTGAGTACAGGAGGGAGAACCCTGGCCTCACTCTCCTCCAGTACGTAGATGACATTCTGATTGCTGCCAACACGGCCAAGGACTGTGAGCGGGGACCCAGGATCTGCTGGCCACCTTGTGGGCCTTAGGGTACCGGGCATCTGTGAAGAAGGCTCAGATATGCAGAGAGAGGGTGAGTTACCTGGGATACATCCTAGAGGGCGGACAGCGGCAGTTATCAGATGCCAGAAAAGAAACTGTCCTGAAAATCCCTACTCCCACCTCCCGAAGGGAAGTAAGGGAATTCCTAGGATCGGCCGGCTACTGCCGCCTCTGGATACCGAGTTTTGCTGAGATCGCCAGGCCCCTATATGAAGCTACCAAAGAGGGGAGGGCATTTGAATGGACTGAGAAAGAAGAGGCTGCCTTTAACCAGTTAAAGAAAGCCCTCCTAGCTGCTCCAGCCCTGGGCCTGCCAGACATTACAAAGCCCTTTCACCTCTTTGTAGACGAACACAGAGGAATAGCGAAAGGGGTTTTAACTCAAGCCTTGGGCCCCTGGAGCCGCCCAGTAGCTTACCTGTCTAAGAAGCTAGATCCAGTAGCTGCCGGCTGGCTGCCGTTCCTAAGAATTATTGCAGCAACAGCAATCATAGTCAAGGACACCGACAAACTGACCCTGGGGCAGGAAATCCGGATCACAACCCCGCATGCCATTGAGGGATTCCTGAAACAGCCTCCTGATAGATGGATGAGCAACGCATGTATGACCCATTATCAGAGCCTTCTGCTCAACCCTCCTAGAGTGCGGTTCCACCCCACTGTGGCCCTTAACCCCGCCACTTTGCTGCCCGACCCTGACCTAGATGCCCCACTACATGACTGTGCGGGAATCCTAGAGCAAGTACATGGATTCCGGAAGGACTTGACTGACCAGCCTCTCCCAGATGCCGAGGCCACTTGGTTCACGGATGGGAGCAGCTTTATACAGGACGGGCACAGGTACGCGGGTGCAGCGGTGGTCACTGAAACGGACACCTTATGGGCAGAAGCTCTACCCTCCGGAACGTCAGCCCAGCGAGCAGAACTCATCGCCCTCACTAAGGCGCTGACGCTGGGAGTTGGAAAACGGCTCAACATCTACACAGATAGCCGTTATGCGTTTGCCACAGCTCATGTTCATGGGGCAATCTATCAGGAGAGGGGGTTACTGACGGCAGAGGGATGGACTATAAAAAATAAGCAGGAGATACTCAACCTGCTTACGGCCTTATGGCTTCCTGCCAAGTTAGCCATAATCCACTGCCAAGGGCACCAGAAGACTGATGACCCGGTAGCAAGAAGTAACCAAAAGGCTGACCAGGCAGCCAAGGCAATGGCCCTTACTTCGGTCCCCACCATGGCCCTACAACTACCGGACCCGGGGGACCCAGTTTTACCAGACCAGCCCAGATACTCCCAGGAGGAGTTGCAGCAGATCAGGAAACTTCCCCTAGCCCAGGAGATAAAGGGATGGTGGTATACACCGGACAAGGAGCTCATACTGCCAGACCGGCTCGGAGTCCCAGTGTTAGAACACATGCACCGGTCCACCCACCTGGGGGCCCGGAAATTAAAGAACTTAATCCAGCATGCCGGAATCAAGATTCACCAGCAAAACTCCAAAATAAATAAAGTTGTATCCGCCTGTAAGACCTGCCAACTCACAAACGCGAGGGCCAGGTCGAGTCAAAAAGGAACCAGGCTCAGAGGAACCAAGCCGGGAGCTCAATGGGAGATCGACTTCACCAAAGTCAAGCCAGGGAAGTATGGTTATAAATATCTTTTAGTATTTATAGACACCTTTTCTGGATGGGTAGAGGCATAACCAACCAAGCATGAAACAGCTCAGAAGGTAGCCAAGAAACTGCTAGAAGACATCCTACCCAGGTATGGATTTCCTGCTATGATAGGATCAGACAACGGGCCAGCTTTTATTTCACAGGTAACACAGGCAGTAGCCAAGGCTATAAGGGCAGATTGGAAATTGCATTGTGCCTATAGGCCCCAAAGTTCACGGCAGGTAGAAAGGACGAATAGAACCCTAAAAGAGACCCTTACTAAATTAACCATGGAGACTGGCGGGACTGGGTGGCTCTCCTACCGTATGCCCTTTACCGAGTGAGGAACTCCCCTTACACCCTGGGCTTTACTCCCTATGAGATCGTGTTTGGCAGGCCACCCCCTATCATTCCTAACCTTAAAGCTGAGCTTCTCGCTGAATTTGAAAATCAAATATCTTTTCTCTTAAGAGGACTCCAGAGGGCGCACAAGGACTTTTGGCCGTACCTCTGTGCCATCTACGAGGCTGGCCGGACCCTGACGCCTCATCAGTACAGACCGGGAGACTGGGTGTTCATTAAGAGACACCGCCGGAAGACCCTCGAGCCGCGTTGGAAGGGTCCCTACGTCGTAGTGCTGACTACACCCATCGCTCTCAAGGTAGACGGCGTCGCGACCTGGATCCATCACACCCACGTCCGCCCAGCTGATCCCTCTGCAGTCCAGAAGGACCTCATCACACATTGGAGCCTTGATCACAATCAGCACAACCCGATCAAGCTCAAGCTACGGTGCATTCGACCCGCCTGATGTCGGTAACTCTGTTGACTCTGTTCGCTGTCACCTACCCTGCCAGGAGTCCCCACGCCCCTTGCGATCTTACCTGGAAGATCATAGACACCAGCTCAGGAACTATACTTAATCAGACTTCCCAGATCCTTCCCAAGGACACATGGTTCCCAGAGCTCGGAGTAGACCTCCAGAGCCTCTTTCCTGGTAGACTGCCCATGGAATATGAACCATTCATCCGCAAGGAAACCTTCATTTTTATGTTTGCCCCGGCCACTTGCAGACCCAAACACGGGGTTGTGCTCGCAACCCATGTGGGGACGCAGCAGACTACTTTTGCGCCTTCTGGTCGTGTGTCTCGACTGGACACATCTGGTGGACTCCCCCGAAAACCGGTGATCTAATCACCGTAAAGCGGCCGGTTGCCCCACCTTGCGGCCGAGAGAGTCTCTGTAACCCCGTGAGTATTTCCTTCACAGAACAGGGAAAGAAAGCAACGGGATGGGAAGCTGGAAAAACCTGGGGAATTAGACTATATGACAAAGTAAGGCTTGCAGCCCAAGACCGGGGAATACTATTCACCCTCCGGGTGCAGGTAGCCCAGCAGGTCCCAGCAGGGGTGGGGCCTAACCGGGTATTAGCACCTCGAACTACCCCCACCCGGGCGTCCCCGCCCAAGAGCACCCGGGCCCCGACCTCACAGCCCTCTGCCTTTCCCGCCCCGATCCGCACCTCAACATCTGACACAGACCCCCTATGGAGCATGATCATAGGATCATATCATGTTTTGAACACTTCCCAACCCGACCTGACCGAGTCCTGTTGACTCTGTCTAGATGTCCGGCCACTATACTACGAAGGTATCGCTATTAGGGGCAATTATACAACAGCCTCCAATTCCTGCTTCTGCAGGTGGCAGCAGGCCACTGCAAGACTAACCCTCCAGGCAGTAATAGGGCAAGGTACTTGCATAGGCCGAGTGCCCCCTGAACAATCACATCTTTGTAATAACACTCTATCAGTCCCTAGTGGTACAGCTTACCTGCTCCCCCCCAAAAATGCATGGTGGGCCTGTTCCAGCAGCCTCGCTCCCTGCGTCCACTCCCAAATCCTCAACTCCTCAAGAGAAGACTTTTGCATACTCGTCCAGCTAATCCCCAAGCTAGTATACCATTCGGGGGAGGAAATGCTTAACATGTTAGGTTCTGCTAACCCTCGAAGTAGAAGAGAACCTGTTACAGCCCTAACTCTGGCCACGCTCTTAGGGCTGGGACTAGCAGGGGCACGAACCGGGATATCCTCGCTAGTCATACAAGACAAGAACTATAGAACCCTAAGAGCAGCCATTGACCTAGACATAGAATGAATTGAGAAATCCATTACCCATCTACAAGAATCCCTTACTTCCTTATCTGAAGTAGTACTCCAGAACAGAAGAGGATTGGACTTACTGTTCATGCAGCAAGGAGGCCTATGTGCAGCCCTAGGGGAGGAGTGTTGTTTTTATGTTGACCATTCAGGAGTTATTAAGGAATCCATGGCCCTCATAAGAGAGGGACTGCAGAAGCAGAAGCTAGAAAGGGAGCAATCTCAGTCTTGGTATAAGTCTTTATTTAACTGGTCCCCATGGTTAACCACTTTTATTTCCGCCCTCTCCAGACCCCTTGTAATCCTACTAATGCTGTTGACCTTCGGCCCTTGCATTATCAACAGACTAGTCCAATTTGTCAAAGAACGCATAGGGGCGGTTCAGTTGATGGTTCTGCACACCCAGTACAGGCCTCTAGTAGCGGGTGGCGAGGTAGAAATGCGGTCCGTCCCATGATTGGGCCCGTAAGTTTCAGACAAGGTGGGAATGAAAAGGCAGAGCAGGACTGACTCCATTTTGTACTGCGTCCTCCATCTTGTGTAACTATGTCCCCGACATGACCTCTTTCTGAAAAAACCCACAGAATGTGTCAGTTACCCTGCCCACCCTTAAATCAGCCAATGGGAATGCAAGGGGAATAACCTAAAGCCAAAGGTATGCTAACCGCATCCTGTCTTTGTGTAACTGGACCCTAGCCCTCACCCAACCAATCGGAATCAGACAACTCAGTGGTCCGAGCATCACCCCACCACCCGACCCCAAGCCCTATAAACTTGCTGTACTTCTGGGACTGGGGGCTCTTTTGCATCCTGCCATTGCGTCAGTAGAGGCGGAGAGACCGAGCTTGAGCTTGAATAAAGGATCTTTGCTTTTGCATCGGACCTGGCTCCCTGGTGGTCTTTGGGGATCTTGAAATCTGGGCATAACAATAACTTCAGAACCCCCTCAGAAGATTGCAACATCTGCTACTAGCAAGGTCTCAGCTCATCATGCAAAGGCTACCAACGAAGAAAAAACTACATCCCAGCAGGAGTCCCCAACTCTGCTTCGGAGGCTGCTGCTACAGCCCTGTAGCAGACTGCATCTCCTCCAAAGCACTCTGAGGTGACGTTTCCACAGCAAGAGCCTGTTCAGGCTGACGGGCCAACCATTCCACCTGTGGACCTGGGACTAACCATCACTCCTGAACATACTTTGGGGGCTGCTGCTACAGCCCTGAAGTAGACTGCAGCTCCTCCACTAAACCCTGGGGTGACATTTACACTTAAAGAGCCTGTTCAGGCTCAGCAGCCACACCTTTCCACCCTGTGGACTGGAAGTCCCCGTCATTCCAGAACCTACTTTATGGCTGATGCTACAGCCCTGCAGCAGAATGCAACTCCTCCACTAAACCCTGTGGTGATATTGCCACCTGCAGAGCCTAAACACGCTCAGCAGCCAACCGTTCCACCATTGGAAGTGGAAGTCCCCGTCATTTCAGA